CCAATTGCGCTAGCGCCGGTGAATAAGGATATGTCGTCCACGCTACGATTATTACTTTTAACTAACAATTACACACAATGGCTAATTGAGTAGTAGTAGTACTAGGGGAAAAAGTCTATTGTGATTTGTGATGAGTAGTACCTACAGACAACACAAATAAAATAAAATCGCAGAAGTTACAAAAAAAAATCTTTCTAACAAAGCATAAATTATTAAATTTATAAAAACTTTCTTGGTGATATTGAAGCATGTTTTTATTAAAAATATTCGTCAGTGAATACAAAATTGATGAAATTTAATAATTATATTGTATTTTCATCTTAATTGAAAGTTTATGTTAATTGTAATATTTCTTACGACTGTATGGGTGGATTCATTCCAGCCGTAAGAAGTATTCAATGCTCAGGCAATTCAGTGGATTGCTTAAACATTGATGAAAATACGCTCACTTGTAGCGAAAAGTAGCAAGTGTTTGAAAATTACGTCCTGTTGGGTCTCAGGTAGTACAGAGACTAGTGCACTCGCCCGGATTGCGAAAGGTTGAGGGCTTGAGTCCCATTTTGGGGTACTCGGGACTGGTGAAATTTTTGATCATTTTACTATAGAGATAATGTTTATTTGTTATTTCAGATCTCAGCGATGTATACTGATGTTGTCTATATTTATATTAAATATGATTTATTTATTTATAAAAAATAGGCTTATCAACTAAATACATACATTGTTTTTCAAGACAAGCATTATAATGAAATAATATGTACTATGTATGCATCTTAATTATCTGTTATGTATTTAATGTAAGTGATTGTGTATTTAGCTGATTATAGTATTATTAGCGTACTATGTCATTTTATTTGTTACAGGTGTCACTTTTAAGAAATAGTATCAGTTCATATTTGACTAGATGCTACGTATGTCCTCGTCTGCGAAACGTCACAATTGGCAAATGATATGATATACGAGTTTACACACTCGACGGAAATTTCGTTGCGTTCTAGTATACTTCCGTGAGACGCTTGGCGAACCTTCGGTCGCATTTCTATTGACCTTAAAAACCTTCGAAAGTGCATTGATCCTTAACAATGGAATTGGAAGACTTTCGTTCCCATCTCATTCCACTCTTATTACAAAACTTTTGTCTAACTTTAGAGTTCTTTTTAGTTGTTATTTAAGTTAATTTTTTCATGTATTTTTTAAAATTCCTGTTTACGCAGTCGGATTTTTTGTTTATCTTTAAATTATTTATTTTTATTTTATACTTTTTAGTTACGATTCGTTGACTTCCTTATAAGATGGTTAATTTCGCAATCAAGTTATTTCATTGAGGGAGTTAATATCGTGTGGATTATTATGTAACTTGCGGTGGCATAAACTGATGATTAGTTCCTCTAGAGACCTAACTCGGCTCAAAACTACATATGCTTTATTTTTTTTACCAAAAATATTTGTTCTTTATGCTTTTTCACTGTTTTTTTTTTGTTTTTTTGTTTGTTTATACTTTAAATAAAAACTTAAATCAATAAGTAAGAAAATTTGCGAGAATGTTTTGTTAAAAAACTTTAAATCGTTATATATCCTAAACTATTATTTAAAATGAAAAATGACAAAAGATGATTGATGATGATGTTGAGAGATGATTTTAAAATACCTATTCAACCACCCTATACAACGATAGTTCATCGATTTTTATTTTTTTCATTTTGACAATATGGCGTCTGGTTGTCGCAGTGGTGAATTTTGATTACTGTCATGTCTTTAGTGACACTCACAAGGTTAAGATGAATCGATTGACGTAAAAATTATCAAAATCGGCCTACGCATTTGGTCTCTAGAACGCTACATAGAAACAAACATACATACATACATTACCCTCCTTTGAGTCGCGCAGTCGGATAAAAAAACCACCTGTCAAAACTCATTCTATATCAAAGTACAGGGGCAAATGAATTTTTTAAGAATATTTTAGATGATTTCATTTATAAATGAAAATAAAAGATATACTATAAGGGAAGGTTTTTAGGATTCCGTAGGCAACAAGGAACCCTTATAGTTTCGCTGTTCGTTTGTCTGTTGATCCGTTCGCAGTTTAACTCAAAAACTATTGGCAACGATTCAAAATTTTTCGAGTTTTCGTTCACGTTCACTGTTGTAGAACTTAATCAACGATATTGACACAAAATAATTTTAATCTTATTTTTCGACATCCATATTTTTTTTAATAACGACAATAGTCGTTTTACTCAATTTAACCTTTACAATCGTAAATTAAATCACTAACCACACCGCTCCAACGTACTCCTCATAGATAGTATATTTTACAATGCTAGACTGACAAATACCTCTAGTACCTACTTGTTATTATTGCCGTTAGTAAACATATCATCGTTAATGGTAAGGTAAGCTATCTTATGTTATTTTATGCTTAGGAACAGCCGAAATATAAGTTTTTTATACCTATAAGGAGCTAAAACGACAACTCTCGAACTTCATCGAAGCAGTTAATAGAAACCGCTGTGTAGCGGAAAGTATAGTGTAGTTGTGTAATTACACTCTACTTTCCACTTTGATTGTAAAAATATAAATTAATGAAAACTTTGGCTTCATCTAATTAACTTATTAATTTTCTGATTATCAGGCCCAGGATCTCCTTTTATAACTACCTTATGAAATATATTTTATTTCCAAACACTTTTTACTGGATTCCAAGTATTTGTCCTCAAGAGGCCTAATTCAATTACGCTACTAATGCTCTAGTCACTTTACGTGAAACCTTTCAGTACCGCCCTTTGTTAGCGGCCGAGCAGTACAATGGTGGAAGGTGAGCATAATTCCCCTGAGCCTCACATTTTAGAGAAAAATAATGTTATTTGCGTTGGAAGTGCTTAAGTTCTACGACCTATTGTTATTCAAGTGAGTTACTTCTAGATTATTATAAATAAGTTGTTCTATTAAGGATGATGAAAAAACTTTATACAACAATTATTTGCTTTTTTAATAATTCTTATACGGAAAAAGTGGAAGATTACGTCATCTGAAATAACTTTTTTGTTTATAATTTATTAACAGAATTAAATTAATAGTACTTTTTTATATTACTGTCTAAATCTTTTCCTCTTACACATAACTATCTTATTAAGTATGATTCAAATTCGGAGTATGCTTGCCTTAGCAAAACTTGTCGCTTATCACACAAATTACCTTATGAGAAAATTGCTTTGGGTCAATTTTTCGGTGGATATAGTGAATAACAGGGCTTCCTACTTAAAAAAACAAAAAATAGAAAGAAACACTATCATGACTGTGTTTCTTTCTATTTTTTTGTTTCATTTATAGCAAATGAATCTTATAAAATGTAGTCTTTGATAACACCAATACTGTATTAGTATATATTTGGAATTTATGAGCTAATCGAAATGATCCACAGGAAAGAGATAACCCTGGGTAACCCGTTCGCGTTCTAACGCGTTCACGTAAACCTTGTGTTGAAGCGAGCCATGCACTATTATATTATTTCTTGTATATATTGTTCTTATACATGACATGATGATAAAGCATCAGAAGAGGGGTAAGCCTGTTCATTGTCCGGCGCTAAAATTACAAAATATTACTAATTCACTAAACTGAATATTGTTCTTTAACTTACTATAATTTGAATTCACATGCGAAACAATTGTTAGAAATTGAAATTAAACAATGTACAGATGGCTCTCTATTTGGTTGGTATGGCAACAGGGAGTGTCTTCTTACAAAGATTTAACGCTATGTAGATTGTAAACTAATTTGTTGGGTTCAGTGAGATTTCAATTGCCTACTGCAACTTGTAAACTCAAATTCAAATTCATTTATTTGTCAATTTTTTGGGTATACAAAACACAAGCAAAGGTGTTATAGCCAACTCAAATCCCAACAAAAATCTACCTAGTTCGGCGTACAAAAATCCTATTAATATTATAAATGTGAAAGTTTCTTTGTTTGGATGTTTAGATGTTTGAATGTTTGGATGTTTGGATGTTTGTACGTCAATCACGCCGAAACTAATGAACGGATTTTGATGAAATTGGGTATACAGATAGAGTATTACCTGACTTAGATAATAGGATACTTTTTATCCCACCAAAAGGTTCCCTAGGGATAAAAGTACCTCCAACGGCGCCTATTTTTGTGAACGCTGCCTAAACGGTATGAGATATACTAATGCTTTCTAAAGAAAAGTTGGAGAGCCTTAAATTATCTATAAAAAAGTCCACGATGTCATATATCTATATGCAAGGGTTTTGCCACAAAAATAAAAAGAACTTTATATAAGTCTATTTAAATTTTTCGTCCGTCTTTAAACCTCTATTTGAGTAGGTGATATTAAATCCTTATCGAAATAAATATGTTTAGCGTCGAAGAAATTTAATATACATGAAAATTGTCTTTTACACCATGTAGATTGGATAAGTAGTTTAGATTTTAATACGATGTTTTTGAGAAAATAAAACAACGTATATTGCCGATTTTCTAAACACTATTTTATGTACATGTATGTATTAAGATAAAACAGCATTTTTAATGTAATCGGTAATATTAAGCCCAACAGATGGCATTGCCTGTATTCTATATTGCGATGTTGAATTAACGCAACTACTTGGATATAGATGACTGTGACTCTGCGGTGCGATTCAATATTCTCTTCGTTGTAAGTGATTTCTGCGTTGTCAATTGGTTCTATTTGTCGATTTGGCTATTCTAACGGACTTGACTTGACATTTTGTGTGATTTTATCTCAAATAACTTCTATATTTTCTATCTATTTAGCAATTCTCTAACTTTACATATTTATATTAAGATCTGTATCTAGCTTTCTAAATCTACTTCTCAATTAACTCTTTGTTTATTTCTTGGGTCTACCTCTGAATCTTGCAAGTCAAGAAAACCTAACGTGCAACATTAGTAAAAGCAGCGACCGCGGTGCCCTTTTGCAACAATGTAAATTAATCGTGTAGGACGAGTGCACAATGTCGCACAAGCGCGTGGTTGAGGCATTAAACCGGAGCCTGCAGGACATCCGCAGCAATGAGACGCTGATGGGAGGTGCTGTTGTTGTACTCACTGGTGATTTTCGGCAAACTCTTCCAATTATCGAAAGGGGTACACCGGCAGATGAAATGAACGCGTGTCTCAAGGTTTCGTCACTTTGGTCCAACGTAGAAAAACTCCACCTTACTCGGAATATGCATGCACAACTTTACAATGATACAGAGTCAGGTGCGTTTGAGTAAGCTGCTCGAGATCGGAGATGGTAGGCTGAAAACCGATCCGGACGGCAAAATCATTTTCACCAATGAATTTTGTGCCACCGAGGAAGAACTACTCGCCGATGTATTTCCCGATTTAAAAAAAAAAACAAATTAAATAATGCGGAGTGGTTGTGTGAGAGAGCAGTACTGTCGCCAAAAATGAATTAGTGAATAAAATAAACAACAAGGTATTAGATGTAGTACATGGCTCATCGAGTGTGTACACGTCCATAGACACGGTGATGGCAAGCGATGACAGCACTGCGTATCCCGTGGAATTTCTCAATTCATTAGAATTGACCTGCGTACCGCCCCACAAGCTGGAGCTGAAGGTTGGCGTCCCAGTTGATGCGTAATCTTGACGCTCCGCGATTGTGCAACGGCACAAAATCAGCGAATTGGGAAGAAACATTCTGCGAGCAACAATACTTACGGGAGCAGCTAAAGGCGAGAGCGTGTTGATTCCCCGCATACCCACTATACCCCACAATTTACCATTCCAGTTCAAAAGGCTGCGTTCCCATTGAAATTGGCATTTGCTATGACCATCAATAAGTCCCAGGGACAAACCCTAAAAGTGGCCGGCATACATTTGGGCATTCCCTGCTTTACCCATGGCCAGCTCTATGTGGCATGTTCTCGAGTGTCAAGTGCAAGGAACCTGTATGTACTTGCTGCAAATAATAGATCATACAACATCGTATATAGATCAATATTATAAGATAGTCATAATCGATGTTGTATGATTTATTATTATCAAAATCTGTTCAGTGGTTGCAGCGTGATTGACTGGCAAACATGAAATTGTTAATGAAAAAAAAATAGAAGTTAGTTAGGTCAGATTTACTTTACTCTGGATATACCTACAGAATTATTTAAATTATTTTTTATCTCACTAAACATTTCCTTAGGAACCACGCGGGCGAAGCCGCTGGCGAAAGCTAGTATTACATAAAAATGATAAATTATATTAAATTATGTCATAGATTCATAATAAATGTCAATGATTAAATTAAACAATGTAAAATGAAATCAAGTGAAAAAATTACAGATACGAACGGCCATGAAGTTGATAGTTTTACTGTTAACTTGCAATCGTTGTGATGGGACATATAATCTAAATTTATTTCGGCAAGTTCTTTATATAACGTCACAATTTCCTTTAAACAAATCTGGATATTTCTGTATAAAAATGCAAATTTCATAAATGTAAAAACAAGGTAGTGGTAGTATATTCAATCTTTTAAATAAAGGCACACAGCTATCACGATACCCCGCACCACATATAGACCTAATGCACTTTTTCTTGCACGAGAAAGGCCCTCTCTGCATCCACCGAGAATCCCCACAGGACAATACCGTATCTAGGGCATGAGGAGACGTATCCATGATATGCTGTTAAAGTCGTCTGCATTGTTGTTGTATGTCTGAACAAGTTACACAATTTTAGAATTTCTGTCTCTCATTCAGATGTCCTGTTGCATTTTCTTCAAAGTAGCAGACAGTGTAATTTTTATTTCTTAATAAATAGCTTACCTAAAAAATATTAATTATTATTTCAATATATTAAAACAAGTTCTCTCGAAGAATTGTATCGTAACACTACCAGTCATCTTTATACAAAATTAATATTTGATTTCCCCACAATTAAATTAAGATTACTTACTTTTTGTATTTATTACCTTTAGTTATGATTTTATACTGAAAGTCACTGTTGTCAACACCTACTTTCTTTTATAAAAAAAAACTTTTGCACAAATAAATGCTAATTTTACCACTTTCAGTTGTAGATCCTGGTGTAGTGAAGACAGGGGCGTATAAGTATGAAGATGGGACCAGGTATGTCGGGGAATGGAACTCTAAGGGCCAGAAGCACGGGATGGGTCACCTCGTCCTCCCGGATGGTACAAGATATGATGGCGCGATGATCGGTGGCCTCTGTTCAGGGCTCGGTGTGATGGCATTTCCTGATGGAGCTAAGTATGTTAATAATGTAATATATTTTAGTAACATAAGGCTTGGTGTATACTGCGTTTATTTTGCTGCATATAATAATTTTAAATATATGATGCATCACATATCACATTATGTATTTTTATGACGCTATGCCGGAGATATTTACAGTGTTATTACAAAAAAGATAAACACGCGTTTAAAAATCGTTCCATTACACAATCGTATTTAAGCATTGGTTAAGGCAAAACAACCCTTAAACATTGTTTAAAATTTAAACATATGTCAAGGGTTGTTTATCGAGTATCTAACCTTTCACAATATTTCACTATAGTTTTACATGTTCTGACTTTGATAAGAATTATGTCTTAGAATTTAAGTTAAAAATGATAATTTTAGATGAAATATTTTCATTTACAAAAAATTATTTACTAGTGTGTTTATATAGATATCTTTTTACGTCTAAAATTTATTATAAGTTTGTATACAGCGTGCATAGAATTGAACGTGTATGAATGAATGAAAGCCAGTAGAACGAATGTTTCTTCGAAAGAAAGTTTAAACTAGTGTTACTAAGACAATGTTTAAAAATGAATTTGTAATAGGGAAAGTTAGACATCATTTTAAACAGGGTTTATATTCTTAAACACAGTTTAGATAAACACATGGTAAAACACTGTTTAACGTCCCTTTTGTAATAACACTGTTAAAGTTTAAAACAACGTGAAAAGAGGTTTTAACTTCAACATGGCCCCCGGGAGTTTAAAGCCGAGCTTTTAACATGAAGTCGATGATGTGGATATCGGTAATGGGTATATCTTGCTGAAAGCCCTTCGGATTCGCCATACGAGCAATACCGTCAGTTCCGGGATATACAGCCACAATCCTTCCCAATTTCCACTTCAGTGGAGGAAGATTGTCGTCCTTAATCTCGACTAAAGTTCCTAGGTTCAATACGCTTGCACTAGAACGCCACTTAGTTCGATGTTGCAGCTTCGAAACATATTCTTTGTTCTAATGAGATATACCTGGTTTAGTGTCCAGTTGATTAGGTCCAAGATGATTAGGTTCAGAAGACTAGTCACACTGAACATGGAGTAGATATTCTGGACCAGACGACCACAAATTTAAACGAAACCATATTATGGGTCTGCTGGATAATTAGATCATTACGAAGAAAATTATATAACTCTCACTTAAATTAGTAAGATGATCTCCTATTGCTAATATAATTACATGAAAATATGTTTTTAAAATCGATTTATGAAATTGTATGTTTAAAGTTACTTATTATTTATATTGAAATTAATAAAATTTTAACATGCAATTAATAATGGTTCCAAGTTTGTAATAGTTTAAGTGCGTGTATTCATACAATGGTTGTAGTTGTTACCCGCGGCTTTGCTCACGTGGTAAAAGAAAAGTAGCTAAGAGTTGTGTTCCATACAAGATAGATTCCCAGTGTAAGTAACTTAAAAAGTAACCAGAAAATCGATACGCCTTGTCCGTTTCCATTATCACAATTAATATGTATTTTCTATTTAAATAATCATCGTCTAACAACTCACCTAATAAACAACATTTTAATTTTAGTAGATAAACCTACGTAGCGTATTAGGAAATATAATATATAATTTACTTCTTTCAGAGATGAGAAGCGTTCTGCGGTTGAATGTAGCCTACTTCAATCTCTCAGTTTTCAAGTAAAAGTTGTATCATGACAATACTCCATTGCGGCATAAAAGAAACACCAACAAATAAATTTTCCATGGCAACGATAAATAAAAATAAGTCTATAATAGTCTGCATGCCAAAACTAACATAGCCCCGTGAACGCATCGCCGAGGAGTGATATGTCCTGTAGCAATGATGCAATGACTTATAATATACTTGATATTTGCTTAGTTTGCCGTATAAGGCGTTTTTTGCCATGCCACATATAGGAAACTTAAATGGGCTGTAGGCTCGTAGCCTTTCTTGGTGGATACCATTTTCCATAAATTGAGGGTACATCAGTGGCGTGTGCTGGGAATACCAACCGCTTTGTGACCATCCAGGGGCTGCAGTCTCGACAGAGTTTGCGATCGCAATCTTACCGAATTTAGTCACTTACTCATAGCGATCGTAAATTAAAGATGATTCCAAGTCTCTACAGTTAGGTGTATCGTTATTTGTTAGGCACGTACCGAGTGCAACTGTCAAATTAGCGTTATTCGTTAGTTTCCTAGCGATGGCTCGGTCATTGACTTTTGCGATTGCTACTTAACGATCGCTATGAATGTCGAGACTGCATGCCCTGGGGTGATCCATACAGTTAAAGAGTCTTAGGAAATCACGGGTGCCTGCCAGTAATTCCGTAGTAGGTACTCGTAGAAAATTATAATCATAATCTATTGTACTTCACGTGTTGAAGATTAATTTTAGAATGATTATTAATTGTTTTACATTTTGTTATATACTATCTGTGTGATGTAAATTCTGATTGACAATAACAATACCATTTTGTGGGACTCAGTTAAAACTTTAAAATTGAATTGTTTCCACAGTAAGTAATTAACAAACTTATGTGAAGCCAATTGATTAGGTAAAATGTTATGTGTGGGTGAGTGTTCCGCCCCTTGTATTCATATTTATCTGTAAAATGGATCTCACCTTTGCAATATATAAATATCAATAGCTAAGGAGTTGAATGAAGCTATTTTATTGGACTCGGTATGATTGATCGTAAATTCGAGAAAAAATAGGCTGATACTAGACAGTCACTTGATCATTAACAGTGTTTTGATGAGTTAAAAACCCAAATAATCCTGAATAGTAATTAATCTTAAGCTGCGTCCTGACGACGGTCATGTCAGGGCGTGACAATGTTGACAACTGAATTAGTCGACCGAGACAGAAAATATCTCGAAAGTAGAGTAATGACCCGTATTATGCTAAATGTACATTAACCTCATCGAAAGCGCAGAAAAAGACGAAAGAAATCAGTTGTAAAATTGTTTTTATGAAAAACATATGAATCCATACACCGACCGTACAAGTCGAATCATTAAACTCCTAATGTATCCCTTTATTCATTCCAGAGGTGTAAAAAAATCATTTCAATTGCCTTCTATGGCTTGGATTAATCAGTATGTTGGCAACACTGCCACATTAAAAATAGTAGTGGTGGCCTTTTCCGTCTCCGCTCTCTCTCTCTCACCGACCGTGTTTGTGTGATGTACGCATTTGATTTAATTATTGTCAAAATAAAAAGTTACTATGCAACAACTGTGTTTCTCTATACAACGAATCAGCTATTACAAGTCAACTGCTCAAATCTTCAACACAGTATAAGAACTGATATGAATAAGCAATTAGATTTAAATCGGTTCGCTGCTTGAGTAGGATGTGTAAAACCGATCTAACCGTCTTATTAACTTTAAGGAAGTTAGACCTCATAAGCAATAAGTGGTTACAGTAGAATATTTCAAAAATAGATTTTATAACTTTGCTAGAAGCTCTGCAATTCATTTGTAGCCAAAAATATTCATATCTTTCTAGATCCTTATTTAGTTCTCATCTGATGATGAATTTAAGGGGTCCATCACTATTACCAGTCATCAAAAAATATTGGAAAAGAGACATTAGCAAATGTAAAATTAATTTGGTTTGCGATCTTTAAAAAAAGTCAAATCTCTAAATAATTATTCATAAATTGTGTGAGAATATTAAATTAGATGTAATTTACGAGTGTGAACCTATCAATTATTAATAGCATAAGTATGCCGATACTTTTGCTATATTTAATTGATTTTTGGAAATTTTACGCTACTAAAATAATAATTTTTTGCATGTAGTTATTTGTTTGGCCATCGTCTTTGTATAGGCAAACTTTGCCGTTATCCTAGTGCATGCAGCAATTGCAAAATTCATCAAGTATAGTCCTCACCGCAAATTCACGTCTGAACTTTATTGATAGTGTGTTGTTATTTTTCCGTTCCACAGAATATTAATGTAACACACATTTATTTCTTTCAGATAAAATAAATATGAACGTAGACATATTTAAATAAACGTTATCTGTACTATTTTTATAAAATACATGAGGTATTTTCAGAATTATGATCAATAAAGGTTCTGTTTGTCTACTTCTTGTGGATATCCCACGAATAAACGAGAAGAAATCTAATATTTCGTATTCTAATAAAATATTATTTTGATATCTCAATATCGTTCCATACCTCGAAGGGAAAATATGATACGGGAATCACTTTGTTCTTCGTTTAACTATCTGTCTGTTGATTTCGAAACCCCTTCTTAATTTTAGAGTCCGACTGGCACTTGTCTGTTTTTTCTATTGAAGTTTTTTTCAGGTATGAAGGTGAATTTATGCAGGGCTGGTTTCATGGACATGGTGTATTCTGGAGAGCAGATGGCATGAAATTTGAAGGAGAGTTTCGTGGCGGCCGAGTATGGGGATTAGGTGGGTAAAAAACTACATGCGGTAAGTTAATTTCAAATCAGCTATTGCTCGTGTAAGCAGTGCAAAGTGGTTTGTTAAAGATTAGATTCAGTATCACGCACTTAATAAAATAAAAAAATCTATCTCACTACACTTCCATATTTGGGTCACCTTTTTTGACGCTGGGAGATGCATACCCGCTCCCATATGTCAGACTCTCCTTTGCGGACCAACTCCAGAATGGGGCTAGTCAGATAGCAGAGGCATCCACCCTAAAACCCAGCGATGCCACTCTCCATGGAGGCGATGTACGGGGACAGCCCGAAAACCACTTCCCACGCCGTTTGCCCCCCTTACGGCCCAAACATTTGAGAATTTTGAGACGCACCCCGTAAATATATAATATATCTATATAAAATATGAAGACAGACTGACATGCGAGAGATCTTAAAAGGGCTTCGCTTTTTCATTCTTGACTTGCATTTGTTCTATTATTATTGTCAAGGTTTCACTTTACGTCGCCTAGAAATATTTTACTGATTTATTATCTACATCAAAGTGGAAGAAATTTTTTAAGAACTCCTAGAGAATTCTTATAATTATAGAATAGAGAAAAGTATAGAAAATAAAAATACTTATTAAGGGTAACATTTGTATGGCTTAGTACAAGGTTTATTATTATTGTTAATGAAATATTTTACAAGTGTTTTTTATACTTTCGATATACATGAAAATGTATTCTAATTCTATCATATATGATCGATTTTGCTAACGCAATGTTATATTGATAAATATCTTGAAGAAAAATGCTTCAAAAATTCACCAGTCCCCGGAGATGGGATTCAAACCTCATAATCTTTCGCAATCTTACTTCTTTCCTTATAATTTTTATCAATATCATGTATTTTTATCAATAATATAATAGCATTGTGAATGAAAAATTGATGAAATCTAAGTGATACAAATCTATTTTTCAAATTGTGTATAATATCTTAATGGGTATCTTGTAAACGAATGTGGAACTTGTTACAAAACAACAGTATTTATATGCTATTGATAGAATACGTATATAACATTTTGTGAGTGATCTTCGAGAATCAGTTCTAGCGTAACTTTATCTAAAGAGGAACTTAGTTACGAATGCTTATAACAGACTTTTACGAGAAATTTCATGAAGAGTTTGTAAAATTAATATAAACTCCAAGAACTCATCGTGAAACTTTATTATATAAAGTATTCCTAGGAACGTCTTACATAGGGGAAGTTTGGCACCATTCGTACACGGGGAACCTTCATACAGTCACTACTACATCTTGTAGAAAAGCCTATTTATTACGACTTTGTGTTAGTGGATAGGCGCTGGCGACTGCCAGTTGTCCACGAAGTTAGCCACACATGCAGCCACTGCGAGCGAAACTAGAGAACTTAAAGTGTTTTGGCATGCTCATAGTAAATATTTTGTCAATGTTTTTGGATCTTCCGTGCTTTAATCATACGTAAAATTTTATTGGATTATTGCTGAATCGTAAGTAAATACGATTAAGATAATAATATATATCCATATTGTGTATTTTTCTACGTGGGTTTTGTGTTAGAAAAAATAATTTTATTATTGATCTTCGGGGCACGTTCGTACATTTCCAGAAAGGGCACATTCGTACGCGTATGTGTGTACCCCCGCTAACAATTTTTATTATTATATCAGAAAATTTAGAATTTTTTTTTCGGAATTTTAAGAAGAAAAAGCAGACACGTTCTCAATATTAATTAAATGAGTTTTCTTGCGTCTGTAAAAGGTGTTTTTAAATAGTAAAAAAAAAAAATATTTTACCGAGCCAATTGAAAAAATTCATATACACATTTCGGACTCACAATATTGGAAGTCACAACACTATCAAATGATTATGATAAAGTTTTGAAATATGAATGTTTGCAAAATTGTTATGGAACTGGCTTCGCTGATATAGAATGGATGCACGGTTTTCGTTAAAAGATAATTAGACTCTAAGCCTATTAGTCCTATAGTTTATTACATCGTTGATAAGTTTAAGATTAATGAAAACGATTTTTTTAATTCATTTGTTGTTTTACTTAATATATATGAAGTTACTACACTATCTGAATGTTCCCCGGCCCATGTACGATTGTACCCCTTAATAGGGGTAGATTCGGACATTTCATTAGCTTTTAGTAAAATTCAATCCTTTGATATATTATACAAGATATCGACTTTGAACTTTTTAAATAAGGAGCTGAAAGTATGCTTTATGTTTTAATAAGTAATTGAGTAATTTATCTTTGATTATCAATATTTTAAAAATCATTGACTAAAAAGTGTACGAATGGTCCCAATCTTCCCCTACATTATTTATATTTATATCTAAAAAGTAGCTCGGAGGCGTAGTGGATAAGCGCCGCGGCTCGCGATCGTTGTCGTTAAGCAAATTTCGCAAGGAATGGTCACGGGATGGGTGACAAAAAAAAAATTGTCTCGAGCTTCTCCGTGCTTCGGAAGGCACGTTAAGCCTTTAGTCCCGGCTGCATTTGCAGTCGGTAATACCCTCCAATCCGCATTGGGCCATCCTCCTTAACCATCCATAAGGAAGGCCTGAGCCCCTGCATTGGGGACGTAAAAGGTCTGATGATGATGATGATGATATCTAAAATTATTATCAGAAAACAGAATCTGAGTATCAAGCGATAGAATTTCGTTGGCTTCGCGTTAAAATAGAACATAACTTTATTATGTTAATTCTAAAAGGTCGTTTATAAATTAATATGAAGCTTCGCGACCTCTTTTGGGGTAAATGATTAATTTATTATTTAAGGTACAGCAACAGTTAAACATGCATTTTATTTAAAACATATTGGAGTAATGGTAATGGTACACACTATAATGCAAATATTTGCAAGAATTTCAAATATCTAAAACTCAAACATTACTTCCTAATTAAACTTCCCTTACAAATCCTTAGCTGATCAGACAAGTTTTGTATAGAAATTCTTATTTTTTTTTTATTATTTGAAAATGACTTTCAGTAACCCTAATAGTCGTTTTTTTATTGCTTACACTACACACCAGCTCTAACCAACTGTAATTTTATTCAAAACAAGCGCTGTTTATCATTGAACAACTTTTATTGAACAAAAACAGACGGAACAATTTCAGAATCGGAATCACATTACTATTTTCCATGCAAAAAAATTATATAGTTTTTTTGTAAGGATTGAAGCAATAGAGTAATGCGCTGACGTTTAGCGCCATATATCGACAAGTAGCGAAATGATATAAAACTATTTTATTTAAACTTTACCATAAGGCAAATTTATATAACCATTTGTCGGGAATTAAATAATAGCGCAAAAAAAATGACGCATAGTTCTATTTATCGACAAGTAACAGAACTTGTGTTTTTTTCTGAAAAACCTATAACAACATTAATATCAGTATGTATTGTAATTATTCTAACGGAATATTTTTATTGCTAAGTATGTTTAAAAAAAATTACGATATTTTTACTTGTAACTTCGTCATATATAGGTACTCCTTACCACTTTGTCGGCAAATTACAACTTTCTAATACCGATAGTTTTAAAGCAAATCCGCGGACGGACGGACGGATGGACATGCCAAAGTTATAAGGTTTCCTTGTTGTTAACGGAACCCTAAAAAGTAGGCTCGACACTTAATTCCTTATTTAATCTCTTAATTAGTTTTAAATCTTAAATTCTAAGGATAAATTTTAATAAATATAACTCAAAGGTGACTGACTGATATAGTGATCTATCAACGCACAGCCCAAACCACTGATCGGATCGGGCTGAAATTTGGCATGCAGATAGATGTTATGACGTAGGCATCCGCTAAGAAAGGATTTTGATCAATTCTATCCCCAAGGAGATAAAATAGGGTTTATATTTTCGAAACGAATAGTTTTGAAGTATTTTATAAGTGATAAATAATATATGGATAATATATATATATATATATATATATATATATATATATATATATATTTAATTGAAACCTGAAAAAAAGGCAATGAAGGTTTTCTATTGTATGTGTTCAAAATAAAAATATCCGTTAATAAATATTTTATAGATCTGATCTATAATTTTTGTCAGGTTTGGTGACTTTCAGCGATGGCAGCAACGGCTTTCCTCGTAACGAAGGTTTCTTTCAAGACTGCAGGCTGGTGCGCAAGAAACGTTGTCCAGAAGTAGTGCAGCGTGCACAAAAAGTTGCCTATATGGCGCGGGCTCAGTGTCAGCAGATGTAGATGTAGCTTTTTTTATCGAGACAAATGCCCGGATTTTTTTTATGTCAAATAAATAAAAACTGTCCAGACGGAATATGTACTAGAAACTGAAATTATTACTATATATATTTGCAGAATGGAAAATGATTTACACGAGTAAAGAGTATAAGTGAGTCGATAAACGGGTCAGTAACCAGTATCGATACTATAATTGAAAAATTGCGGCACGGTTTACGCAATTTCTCAAATTATTATTCACTTATATTAAGCAAATGTATACTAAATAATAATAAGTTAATGATTCCGTGGTGGGGGGCCGAAGCTGTCATACAGGGTATCCTAGTACAGGTTTTGCTCTCTCACGATGGCTACGACACTTATAAATTAGCTTTAAGTCTAATGAAATTACATGTTTGAAGATCGTATGTAGCTATTGTGACAGAAATAAAGTGATTATTATTATTATTTTGAATTCTTTCAAATTATGTATTTAAAAAAGCCTTTTTAAAAATATATTTGTCAAGTGGTTTAAATTAGTAAACATTATCTTAAAAGCTACTGACTTTGATGAAACTTGTGCCATTCCATAATGTTGGCACATTCAGTCAAAAAATAACCAAAGATTAGTCTAAAATAAGTTTATGTTAATAAATAATAATAGTCGCAAGTTTTGTTTTATTTCCAAAGTATCTAATATTAAAAAAAATTTAATTCATCAAATGTATTTAATTTCTTCTGTCTTACCACCATCTCTTAGAGCAATATTACTCTGATATAACTTTGCTTATTCGTACCATGACCTAAATTAAAAGTAAGCTTATGTTCGTATTATTACGGTTTTGTTTGTGACGTCATCGCTAAAACATTTACTCAAATAATTGAACCATGACCTGTCTTTTAATAGTTAGCTATAAAAGTCGCTCACGCGGCAGAAAATTCGAGCTTCGACCACCGACCACCTGATGGAACACCGACATGACCTTTGAAGTCCTTAGCCCTTAGTCGAAGCGTACTGTATCAGAGTGTTGACAAAAATATATGAATAACGCAAAATTACGGAGTTTGGAGTAAATAATATTTTATATATGTCCGGATTTTTAACGTTGTATCACAATATTTATGCGAGAAATAAAAATATAAATTTATCAATGGTGAATTTTATTTATCTAAGGCCACTAACTCAGATCAATGATAGAGATCGATGTTATTAAAGAATTAATACCACCATAGGATGTCACCCTTTATTTGAAACAAGTATCTAAGTCTTAAAATCAGTATTAAAGCAAGTAACGAATCAAATTATCGATATTTGATAAATAATAAATATTTTATAAAAGGATCTATTTCAGAATTAATAATAACTACATTTTGAATCTTTCATATTATTTTATAATTTCTATCATGTCCTGTTATATCATTTTTAAGGTTCATATAAAACATATTTTTTTTCGTAAAAAAAGAAAATCAATCAAGTTTGGGCCCATAGTGTAAGTAAAAAATTCTTATTGTTTAGGTTTAACAATTTACAATATTAATATTAAATTATAAAACTATTAATGACGAAATTTTTCCAAGTAATCAACTCTCAAATCCGACTTCCTTTAATATATACATAATTATCGGCCATCGTCAAGTAAACATTATAATTTCATTTTCCTTGCTTATTTTTCTTCTCTACACATAAATAGTGACTTTTATTACTCCTTGCAACTATCCACATTAACTGTCACCGCTTCGGATTGTGTCACACCCACGGATATTCAGGCTATTCGGCAGGAGTTTGCAGTCTGAACTTAATAATTTTATGAGCACAACAAAATGTCCGCTTTAATGAACTCAACGATCAACTGAGTAATTTTAGCGAGTATCTTAACTTTTTGAGCCAACATTATGACTCCTTAAAAGTGGACTCAGACAGATACAAACCTTAATTAATAATTTAGGAATTGAAAACGTTACCCTTCGCACTGAACTCAAAAACCCCTCGAATTGTTTTCGTAATATAAATCAGATGACGAGATCTACTTACTTGGAAGTACAGTGTGTGCTTGAACACAAATCGAAAAATGTGGTTACTATCGCTAAGCAATATTAACATTGTCAAGTATCCCTGCTGCGACATTTATTATTGTTATAAAATAGCTAAATCCAACCCGGCCAATAGTCACCCTCGAACAATTTCGGTTAATTTGAATACTCCTCGCGCCATGACCTCGTATAGTGTAGTGTAGTGATTCAGTATAATAAAGATAATCCAAGCGCTAAAATAAATAGCAGTTTACTCGGCATCGGCTACAAAAAGACGCAAGTTTTCGACTCTGAGCATTTAACTACCGAAATCAAGAGTTCACATGCTGCAGCGCATATTCGCGCATGGTACGCGGATATGCAGTGGAAGAGTATACGTACGCAAGTCAGATACAACCGAGATCCTTATTGGTGCATAAAATGAACGTTATTTATAGTTCAAAGTGATGAGTATTTGTTTTATCGATATTATTGTGTATCTTTGCGTTAGTTATTACTAAAAAAATAAAGATGTTTGCCATGATTAATTGTTATTTTCAAAACGTCAAGGGCTAAAACTACTGAATTTTATTCGAATTGTGATTATGTCATAGTCGTATTGTGTGAAACGTGGTTGGGCAGAGATATATTAGAATTATTCTGCGACCGCTATTTTGTATATAGACGTGATCGTGAATCTGGCGGTTTTCACAGGACTAAGTCTAGCGGGGGGTATTAGCAGCAGTATCCGAGCGGTATCCGTCTTATCGTTATCAGCGGTATGAAAGCAGTTATAAGGAAGTCTGGGTTTGTATCGATATACAAATAAAAAACAAATCATAAAAATATTTGTTTGCAGTGTATACTTGTCTTTGAAACATTTGAAATGTCACATATTGCGGCATTTCTTTGAGAACAATATCTTGGTAAACTCTAGTAACTCATTAATACTGGGAGATTTCAACCTATGTAAGTTAGATGAGGTGGGCGTATTGGACTCGACACTTTCCATATCGGGTAATGAGAACGGTAAGTTTGAAAACATTTTCTCTGAATTTCTTTCTTTAATAGTTTGCATCAATATAATGCTATTAAAAAAAAGAAAACAGAATACTTGACCTCGTATTGTCAAACATGTCAGTGAATTGTCGGAAGTATTGTGTTTCTCTACTGAGTAGCGTGAATGATTATTATCCACGTTTAGGTTTCGAGCTATTTTGTTGATGGATTTATGTATCAATTTATAAAGCAGATGTGTTTTGTTTTGTGAAATACGTAAGTAAGTGTTGAACTTAAATAGATACTGCTTATCTATTACGTGCGAAACCACAAATGAAAATAAAATAAATATAACGTTTTTTATATAGGACTGCTTAATCAGCACGCACCGACAGGAATAAATCATAAAATATAGCTTAAACTCGTTTATCTCATTCAACGCTTAATCGTACTCAATAAGTTTTATATGAACCAGCCGATTGATTCACATCACCAGCCCTTTTACGTCCCCACTGCAGGGGCTCAGGCCTTCCTTATGGATGGTTAAGGAGGATGGGCCATGACCCTCCACGCTGGCCCAATGCGGATTAGAGGGTATTAACGACTGCAAATGCAGCCGGGACCAACGGCTTTACGTGCCTTCCGAAGCACGGAGTAGCTCGAGATAATAATTTTTTGGTCAACCATCCCGTGACCGACCCTTGCGAAAGTTGCTTAACGACTACGATCGCGGGCCGCGGCGCTTATCCACTACGCCACCGAGGCATTGATACTACGCATTGATTCAGGAATGCACAATACGGGTTATTTAACAAAAATTTGTTAAAATATGATTGCCCGTGGTCTACTATCTAAAAAAATTACCTATCTAGAAGTACTACTATCAAAATGCGAAAGTATGTCTGTTGCCTTTTTATTTGTTTGTGTCTACTTTAATTTCGAAACGGAGCGACCGATTGACATGATTATTTATATATTTATTTTATATATTCAATAAGACAGGATAGATATATGACCTACGCGGAGAGAATTATCGAATCGAGTTTAAGCAATCTCTTAAGTAATATTAGTTGATGTTCACAAGTTGTAGTTGGGAGTGGAGAGCTCATGCAGTCGGTGTCTAAGAATAGAAGCCTCTACACGACGCATCCACTTTTTTTATCGGTCTCTTACCACCTCCCTTTAGACCTGCAAAGCCCACATGGGGGCGTTATGCCCGCTTTGGGAAAGGCTGGTTATACAAGATAAGTCAAACGTCAAACATTTGGTCATTTGGTGTGAACAATTAATTTATAAAGTACTATAAATATTTGATGGTTTATTTTAATGATATTAATATGTCTAGATACGAAATACATACCAAAAAAGGGACTCCACTACAACTTAGACTGTCTTCTATGTAGTAGATTACTCATGCACTTAATACTCATTCAACTCCCGCTGAGAAAGTGCAAAAAACGAAGGAAAACAGTGGAAAAATACGATTATTGGATAATCATTAAAAAAACTCATACATTTTGTGTATTGGGTATCCAAATACACAAAATATATGAGTTTGTTGGGATAAATTATTTGAGTTTGACAGTCACAATGCAACTGTAACTAAATAAACTGTCTCACCTTTGCATGTTAAGCTGATGTGCTTAATTCATTTTTATTTTTTAATACAAATTAATTTAAAGAAATAATCAATAAAATATAATTGTAGGTACATTGTTAACATTTGTACTATGGAGGCAGGCAAACATGAGAGGGCAGCGCGGCTCATAGTGGTGAAATAGTATATAAATGACTTCTCGCGCAGCAATACATTCATTTTCTTAAGTGATTTTGAAATATTTGTAAGTTTGTGCTAAATAGCCCTGAAATCGAGGTCGGGGATCGCTGCTCTGCATTGTGCCTGTGTAGTCTTCGTGGATCACCAGTGTGTAAATCCCCTAATTATAACTCAAAGCTAAGTCCTCTTAATTCAAGAACCAGAACCATAGCGAACGAATCTGAATCTACCCCCTGAGAGATAAAATAAAGTTTGTTAAAACCTTATTTTGTTGTTTTTTTTTTGCTCTTTTTATCTGAAGCCTGGGGGGTGCTTCTCACCCAACATCTAAAATACAACGCTTCACAACATAAATTGTATTTTTAATAAAACTACGTTTCCAGTGTGTATGTATGTATGTATATCTGTATCTATGTATGTTTGTCCGTGATTGTCTCGCGTTTGGCTTAACCGATTTTAATGTGGTTGTTTAGAACAATATTTGTCACATCTAGGAAAAGATTTTGTTATAAAGAGGAGGTTTTCGGTTGCCGGTATGAAGATTATCATTTAATATACATTTATACATATTTTTGAATACCTAGTTGATGAAATGCTTATCAAATATTTCTCATTTCTCAGACTTTCGGTTGAACTATTTCTTTTTTTAAATTGATGTGATCAGCATCATTATAATTTTCACAACAAATTACTAAACACTTTTAGCTCTGACAGATTTCAATGACCTTGTTATTCAAATATCGTTCACAAAGTCCATAAGCATCTGCGCACTCGGTCCCGGTGACCCTTACGCGCCTAAGCGTAGACAGATTGAAGTAGGTCCTATTTATTTTGTGTGAAGTCTGGTTTTGTCAGATAATTTTTAGATGGATGGTTTCACATAAAGATGGAATTAAAAATAGGCATTCAATTCCTCTTTCAAGTTTAAGTCCATTTCCGTTTGTCCTTCGTGACACATTTCATTTTCCTTTGTCTCGAAGTCTTACCTATTTCATATTACGAAATAATATTTGATTCAACGGAGAGTATAATTCTTTTGCTAATAACACAGAAAGAAAATGAGACTTTATTGGGAACAGTGAAATTCTATTTCTGCTCCGCATTTCAAGGAATGTTACTTGATAGTTATTAATTTCAGTTTGCGGAACTACACTTAAACGCGAGGACCATAGAAACTACACTTAAAAGGAGAACAGTAGCTATTCTTTTTATTGAGTAGCGGTAAGCTGAATAAGTTTTGATTATAACTTCTATATTATAGGCACTTTAAGTAAAGTGTAACAATAGTTATATTTTTATTTCAGAATTTGATTAATTAGACTAACACAAATTCTGCGTAAATTTACACCCACTTGCTTTTAAAAAATTCTGACTAAAATATAGTTCAAAGAATCTCCTCGACTTAAAGTATTATTTGATTTGGCTTTATCTAGAAGGTGAAAATAAGATCTGCTTAAAGATTTGTTGGAGAATTTAAAAAATTGTTTTGTAAACTCTTTTTAGATTAGAAGAATCTACATTTTCAGGAATTTGCGTAGTCATATGTTAGCTAAAGCAGATAAGGCAATGATAAGAACCTTTGCTCTTCGAGAATCAGCCCAAAATAAAAGACAGTATTCAAGACTGTCTGTACGTTTAAAAAATATTTATTAGTATTACCTTTTTCTTCTCCCTGTTAAGGTGTTATCAGACTATACCAAAATATTTATTTATTTAATTCTTTATGCACAATCGTACAAAGGCGGACTTAATGCCTTAGGCATTCTCTGCCAGTCAACCTTTAGGTGATGTGGAGATTAAAATAAAGGATAAAAGTAGGTGCATATGTAATCTTTGAGAGAAAAAAAAATAATATAAAATAAGCATAACACAAACACAGGTTTAAATCAATATTATGAGTAAATAATTAAGAACTGATTATTGACTGTCTTTTTATTTATTTTTAATAACAATTACGTCACTCTAATTATCATTATTTACATAAATTTCATTACCGTTTTAACATTAAAAAAATATATTATTCAGAAATTACACTGCATTGTGCATCATAGATTTTAAAGGCAAAAACCTGTTAAAGGTTCATTTTAAATATGAAATCTTACAACTCTTCCGCGATGTGCACTAACTGAAATAATTGCATATCATAAAAATAAATTCTTTAGCTGAACTCTTTTTAAAATTCTCATAATCTAATAAATAAAATATAATGCTAATTTTACAAATTCAGTAACAATTTCTGTCACTTTAAAATCAAAGAGTATGTAATATACTAAAAAAAGAAATCAATTAATAGTGATTATAGTTTTCCTATATTATTGAAATGACATGAGGTTAAAGTGAGTATGAAATTTATTATAATTGCACTATAAAATATTTTTGAATTTTAGAAACAACTTCGTAATTTTCGCTCGGTGTTATTATTATTCATAAATAATATGCCCCTTTTTTTCTCATTTATATTTACATTTTATTTATTTTGGTCACAATCAATTTATATTAGTGATTAGTGTTATTTTTTGCGACGAATGATAAGATACCAAAATAATATCCAACAAAACATATATTAACAAATTTTCAAATAATATTATGCGTGATTACAAAGCTGTTATAATTCTAAAACAAAGTAACTTAGAGAACACTTAAATAATGTATTAGACTAAAGCAAATAAATAATTTTGCAGACAAAAGAGTTTTCAATTGTTTTTCAGTTTTCTCTTTGCTATGGTTTCTTCATCGTCCAAACATTGGCCGTATCTCACCTCCATGCATTTGCTTCCCTGTAACAATAAGTCATACAGTATGAATAAAGACTAGGAAAAAAATATTACCCACACATTACACAAACGTCCATTTAATCTTGATACGAGATTAGAATATTTGTTACAGTTTAAAGTCGTAATAAAACTTTAATGGATGCTTGTGCAATTTTGTGAATATCGTTTAGATGATAACTTTTTAATTGAATTAATTTAAATGTTATAAAAAAATAATCGATTATCTAATCAGGTACTGCCGTTGAATATAGCACACTCATTGCTTTTGACGTTTGAAGGGTAAATAGCTCAACTGATTTTTTTTTCATATAAAATACTCTCTTGTTTCTACTGCTTAGTCTATGCGGGCTGTAATTAGGAGGTAGATATTCGAGTTTATTTTTTGACACTCCTTTGGTCAAAAATAGTGAACCTTATAAAGCGACACTATTTTATATATGATCTAAATTATTTTATGAAAACATATTTGTAACTATACAATAGATATGTCATGAAATTATTAATATTCAATCATATAAAATATATAAATAATTTTAAGATGAACTAACAGAATTAAAAAGATATAATTCATAATATGATGTCAAACATTGCCTGTCTTTGCTTGTATTTATAAAGATTATAGTTTGTTTCTAATTTTTTCAATATTATTGAGTTCCCTTTGGCACTATCATTAGGATCTGGAATTCCTTACTATGTGCCTAATACTTGTTTCTATTTTCTATAGTTTCCACAAAGGAAAAAAATTTCGTCATATTTTTATTTTATTCCAACACGAACATAATTTCATAACAGAAAATGATACATTGACGTTATTGTCGGATGGCATTTACCCGAATCGAGTTCTGTCAAATACATTATCATCTCAATTTTCATTATTCGATATCGGAATATGGCTGCAATATTCGCACGATGATTGCGAGTAAAGAATTAACACACTTATTTCCTATATATCTTCTATAGGTGTACCTGTATCCGATATCACAAAATAAAAAGGGACGATATAGATTTTCAAAGTGTAAATTTGTGTGAAATATTAATTTATTCTATGAAAACGTTCAAAAAACCTTAAACGAGAATTATTTTTGTTTTTTTTTTATTATTTAAAAAAATAAAAGTTCTTATTATTTTGACTTATTGATTCGATTAATAGTCAAACAAGATTTATCATTATTATAATAATATCTAGGTTTACTCTACACTGTTCACTAGATGGCATTATTTTGCAAGAATAAAATAGAATACACACACACATTTACTTTCAAAATACAATCATAAAACTTTTTAACAAAAAAACGTATGTCAAATAAAAACTTATATGTAAAATGAAATGGTATTGCATTAAAAATGAACGATAAAAAGTATTTTGCGTAAAAACTTTCTCTCGTCGTACTCTCAGACTATAATACGCCAATAAAAACGAAGTCACAAGGTCGACTCCGGAGGTGTATTCTTAAAATCAACATTCGATATCATATGAAATTTATTTTTTGCAGCACTTAAATTCTTAAGTTAGAGTGTGATGGTTGACGAAATGGAATTAAATATTTTGAGTGACATTTTTGTGTATAAAGCCAAAACGCTATATTAAGCACCATTATGTCGTACCCAAAATAGATGCTAAAAATATTCTAGTTATAATAGTAGATAGGTAAAATTTTAGCAAGCTAATGCGACACGTGGTAAAAAATATTGAATATAATGTTAAGGGTAGAATTGTTTAGAGATAAATTTATTATCTTGCAATAAATTGACCCTTGCTTGTGCAAAATATTTTATATTCTTCTCTTATAAATACTTTTAATTTTATTTTACCTAATCAATATTGAATCAATTTATATGCAGTAACACGAAAACGTTCGTAGGAGACCTACCATAACTTTTTAAGATATTCTGGACTTATTTACAGATTTTGGAAAAAATATAGTCAGCAAATAAAAGATGAAGAACTAAAAAAATATACCTGTCGATTCTTTTTTATATAGGGATAAAAACAAACGGGATAATACCCATTAACGCATGAGGACATTTTTTGCTCAAAATGAGAAAACACACGGAATTAATTCATCTAGATTTCATCTAGTTAGAAAAATATCAATTATTCAGGAGAGCAATAGTAATGGTTCCAAATACAATAAAGAAAACTTTGATTTTCGATTTGACCAACAAACAAACTATACATTCCATGATTGTTGTGCATAGTTTAAAATAGGTCCCCAAAGATGCAAGTCGTCAACATAACATTCGGTCATTTCGCGCATGCTATAAGAAAGCAAAGTCACTAGTATAACGGAACCTGCCCGCGGTTACATCACGCGCTTTCTCTCAGATCTTTCCGTTACGTAAAATGAAACGTAACTGAGTTGCTGATTAATGCAAGCATTATATTAAACTATAGCGGCTCTTGCGTTATGGTGTCCGAAGAAATTGAATTCTAAACGGCGTTAACTACGCTAATATTTTTAAAGTTTGTTTGTGAGGGGGAATTTTCGTAAATACTGATCGGATTATGAAAATTCTTTCAGCTACGGAAAGCTATATGATACGCAAGTAATATAAGCTATAAGGTATGCAGGCGAAGTCGTGGGAAACAGCTTGTATATAAATAAAACAATATGGTATAAAGACAAGAGCTTTGAGTAGCTAATATCTATTTCTAGACAACGCGAAGCTATATTATATTTTAAAAATTTCATAGTTCCAAATATGTTGAGTTACGCTATTAGCGGACAAAACTAAAATAATTATCCTGGAGATATTCAGGATATTCGGAATTCCTTTGAAATTGAACCCATTTAAATTATCCGCACTATTTAGTTATATCCGAAAGTTAGCGGATGCCAGTTTCTGTCTTTATTGTTGAAAACTATATAAGTAATAGGAAATTAATGCGCCATGAATTAACTGACCGGAGAAAATATTCAGTAATATGCGGTCGAGGTTTCAAGCCATCACCATATAAGTACCGGGTTCGATTCTCGGTTAGATCAATGTAGAAAATAAAATTTTCTATCTCGTCTCGAATCTGGGTTATGGTATCTTCATTGATTTGGATACTTCATAATATGAGAGATTGAGCTATTTATCTTGGAATCTTAATAATGTTGCTATCTATTTAATTTTAGTTTGACATTTTGAAATAATAAATCCTTAAAAGAACATCTCGATCTGCAATTCGGTGGCTCATCAACTTCCACAAAGGTCGGTAAATAGATGGGACTCATAAAATTTATTATCTCAAGCTCCTCCGTGCTTCAGAAGGTACATTCGATGCGGCCATATCTGTCATCATTAAAACCCACCATTTCGCATTGATCCTGCTAATGCTACGTTATTGTATGGCCCATTTTCCCTTTTTTTCCATTTATAGGGAAGGGCTACCCCATCAGTAAGGACAGTGATAGGCTGATGATGACGATGAAGCCTTTAAAAGTAAGCAAATAGCTATTTTTCCATTGATATTATATTTTTGTCCATATTGATTTTATGAATTTTTAATAAGAAGCGTGTCTAGATTTTTCCTCAAAATATTTCGATTAGTTCGAGATGAGAAATGAATTTACTTTAAATAAGACAAAATATTTGTCGAATAATATTCTTTTGCGCGACAAAATAATTTGGAGACTTCATTTTCAGTTTTCAGCAATCATTAAAGCAGAATAGTGATTTGTTCAAAACTACATTAAAATGTAATACATGGCATTGGCATAATTTGTTTTCTGGGATACTTTTTTAATTTCATTATTCGCTATGTATTTTACTAATCCCTCTGTAACAAATTCTGAAATAAACTTACAAAACTAATTAAGTTGAACTTTGTTATTATTGGAAAAGATTATTTTTAATTATAGGGCCCTCAACTGTACGTCTACTATTTTCGTAATATAATTGTATTTTTATCTTTTATGTACAATAAAGAACAATCTATCTATAATTTTACTCCAGTATATTTTAATAAACTAATTACCCTCATCTTAATTATAATAGGGATGACGACTGGGTAAAAAAAAATGCAATTCTATTTAGTCCGTCAGTCAGATAATAGAAAAATATTAGATACTTTTTTTTTACTTCAATTTAACAAGAAATGGCTTAGATAACAGGCATTAGAGTTGAGTAGTGGGGGCTCGCTACGTCACAGTTGAGTAGAAAACGTACTCTAACGTGACGTCATGCGAAATTTCAACTCAAAAAAAAAATAAAAAAGTAGTTGTTTAATATTTTTAACACTCTACCTGACGGACAAACAAACAAAAATTAGTCATCATCCCTATTGTAAACACTGTTTGAAAAGACTAAAACTACATTTAGTTCAGTTTTGTAGCAATGCACTTGCTATTTAATAAAAGCTTTGAATACATTGACAATTCTTTGGCTTAGATATAATAATATAAGAATCCGTTATTACGGTTACGTACGTAACCGTGTTACGTATACCAATGGGTCCAATACGGGTATGCCGGAACTGCACTCTTTTAATCGTCACATGATGTGTATGTAGCCGAAGAAATTTAAAAAACGGATATGACAGCGAATAGAAAGATTATATTATTATTTAAATATATATTCTGAGTATAGGTATACATTAGTAGCATCAAGTAAGCCTGATGATTAAGCATTTTCTAATCGTGTTTATAAAATATGACTGATCATATTGATCGCCCTATTGGTTTATGATTCATAATAAAATAAGCTCTTTGAAATTCAAGGCATGGGCATTAATTAATAGCTTTTATCCGTTTACAAATAAGAAAGATTATTTCAAAAATCCATTATTGTATTGTGCCTTCAGTTATAATAAGGTTAATAAAAATCACGTTACACTTCCCCAGTTCCTAAGCAAATTGGAAGTCTACCTAACGAGCGCATATGTCCTTAATAGCCTTGTACATTAAGGTTCTTGCGCCACATCCTTATATCATATAAACATTTTAGATTGTTTCGATTGTATTCCAAACGACTTAAAATGGATTTAATGATTATAATAATAATAATTTATTTGCGTTTGAATAGGGTATACAAAAGAGATGTTAAAGGTAATACAATTATCGCCTATTCAGCCATTAACAATAGCATGCAAATGTAGTAAAAGAAGATATTATAAGCACTGATTAATCCACCCAGGCTACCGTTCAGTTTCTATAGTCTAAGAACTCATGCAACGAATAAAAGGAACGCTCAGCAAGCCAGTTATATAACTCTCTCTTAAATCTAGTAAAAGGTGTATTCTTTATAGATTCCGGAATCTTATTAAATATTGTTTGACACATACAGTAGCAGTTATTTTTAAATCGCGCGCTTTTTGGGACTATGACAAGAACTAGCCTATTTTTATTTCTAGTGTTCCTGGGATACACTTCATGAGCTATTTTGTAATAATCAGAGTATCGTTTAGCAAATTTCGCTGCTTCAAATATATATAAGCAAGGAAGAGGTAGAATACCAAGAAATTTAAACCATTGCTTACATGAGACGTCGGGAGCGATACCACAAATGGATCTTATGCATTTTTTTTGAGCAATAAATACCCTTTACGCATCTGTACTACTGTACTTGTCCCAAATAATAATTGCATAACGTAAAATTGACTCCACATAAGCGACGTATGCTGTGAGAGCCGTACTTCTTGTCGCTACTCTCGATAATTTAAATAATGCAAATGAGAAGCTATTTATCTTATTACAAACGATTTCTGCATGTTGTTTCCAATCTAGTTTCTTGTCAATAGTTATGCCTAAGAATCTAACGTTATCAGCTTCTTCAAGCGTGCATTTTTGGTATTTAATAATCAATTTTATATCATTATTGGAAATGCAATGTTAAAGTTACAATTTTCTCATAATTTGTTATGATTATTATAATAAGACATGACAATACTTTGATGCTTAAGTGTTTTTCACGCTCAAGTGTCTACCAAGTCGAAAGATGAACATTTGCGCCAGTTTGTGAAATAATATTTTAAAAATGTAGTATAGACTTAATTAACTGACCTTTGCAAGATAAGCCTTCATGTAGAAGTTTCCAAAGAGAATGATGAACGAAATCATGTATATGATGAGGACATAGTGCATCCAGAGAGGAAACTCGCAGCCGGTTCTGATGCCGTTGACACCGAGGATCAAAGCGCATGTGAATTGGATCTGAAAAATATGAAAAAATGATCGTTAATTTTATATTTTAGGAGATAATATTAATGAAACATGATTTATGGTGGTTATTTAATGAAACGGACGAGAAGGCGGCGGGCAGAACGAATTTTCTATCCATCTTGGGAATGAATGACAAGTGTCATTAGAATTCTAATAATTTAGTGTCTACATATGTGCAACGGTTCATATCACTTCATTAAAAAAAACTGCAATTCCTAAATTTCACACTTGCTCTTTAAATTGGTAAAACAACTAAGATAACAAAAGTGAGCTTATTATGTTATAGTAAGTATACAGGAGCATAATTATATTTCTTTGTTTAAACTTTAAAATAAATTCTCATTAAAGTTATAACTTTTAAGATTAGTTTGATTTAGACAATGGGATTGTAGTACCCATTAGTAATTTTCAGATAAAAAATAAAATAAAATGACATAATGACATGCCCATCTCATAGTTTAATGTTAATTATTTTTAACCCTATTCTCTTTGCTTACACCGCAGGGGCTTCGAGTATAAAACTTATAGATATTTAATTAAAATATGATTACTTTATCTTATCTAATCAAAATCGCTGCAACTCTTAAATCGAGAGATGTATAGAATGACATTCCAAGGGCAAAAATATTTAATAAATGTCTTGCCAAGTAAAGGGTTAAATATGATATTAATCACTATAATTAAATTTACTATAATTTTTACTACAGGTTTTAATATCATTGTTTTGACACAAATATAAGAGTCAGTTATTTTATGTGAATACGGTATAAATAATATATTTCCATATACAAATAATTTATTAGGATGTATTGACAATCATTCGCATGTTTCTTATTGGTCTACGAAGATCGAAACCAAGATGCACCTTAAATATTCAAAGGGTTGTGTAGCTACAATTACTAGTCGTGTATAAAGATCCGGAAAAGGAATATATTTATTCAGTTGAGCAAAACGTCTATTTACCAAAACGTCAGTTCACTTTTGAGTTTAAAATTTAAAATATCTTTCTTACTTACTCTACTAACTAGATACTAAAAATATAATAAGTACTATAACATGAAAAGTATGTCATGACAAACTTTCTATTAAAAATAAATACAGTATAGATATGGAACAATGTGCCTTGTAAAAAACCTGCAACTTAGAAGACCTTAAAACATTAGACAGGCGTAATAATATATAACCATTAAAAACTACTCGATTTGATAGGTAAACGGGCAGTTGCAACACGTCCATTAAGATTTAATGACGCCTTTAAGTTCTAATGAATGTCTAATTTGTATGGTAAATACTACTTTAAATTAATGATTATTTAATGGACGTTTGTGCAACTGTCTGAAAGCCCGGTAAACCATCTGATTCTATAAATGGAAACGTTAGTCAAACCTCCCTAATTTCGTCGAATATGGGACCTAAAAACTTTGTTCGATAATTGAATGATAGATTGACATTGCTTTCAATAAACTTAAAAGTTCTTAAGTATATAATTAGTAACTGTTACTAAATCGATAAAAGAATTAGAACTTATAATAAAATAAACAGAGTCATCGGCCATCTGCTGATTGCCCGGAAGAAAGTACACATCGAAATGATTATGAGCCGTGACGTAATTCTCGATTCGATCAGGTGTGTTTAATATGTATGCAGTTGACCTAGTATTTGTCGGATGGAAGTTCTGTGAAACCATGTCAATATAAAAAACATGAACTACTTTTTAAATATGAAATATATTTCCAGGGCATTTGAAATGAATACAGTTTTCAAGTTCAAAAATTGGTATTCATGAAATAACGGAGATGCTGTGCCAATAGAAAATATCATACATATTATAGTATAGGTGATAAATGCGGATAACAGAAGCAAAATATTGATTCATTAACACTATATCGTGTTTGCAAAATTGTAAGCAAAAAAGTTAAACGGTTCTTGTTAGCAAGATTATATAATGGAAGTGTTAATTCTGAGATTTTACATATTTGTTTTAGTCGCATCTCATAGAGTATGAACCGTCATACTAATATTAAAAATACGAACGTTTTTTGAGTGTTTTTCACTACTTCACTTAAAAACAACTGAAACGATTTTGATAAAATACAGTGTACACACAATTTTAAACCTGAATATACATACATTTCTTTCAATCGTGGGCAAAAATATTCCCATTGCGCTCGTACAGATGCATCTAGTCAATTATATCATAGTAAAGTGAACATACACAGTGTTATTACAAAAGAGACGTTAAACAGTGTTTTACCATGTGTTTATCTAAACTGTGTTTAAGAATATAAACTCTGTTTAAGATGATGTCTAATTTTCCCTATTACAAATTCATTTTTAAACATTGTCTAAGTAAAGAAACATTCGTACTACTTTCGTCGTATTCGTACGGTTTTCATTCGTTCATACACGTTCAATTCTATGCACGCTGTACACAAACTTATAATAAATTTTAGATGTAAAAAGATATCTTTTAAACACACTAGTTAATAATTTTTGTAAATGAAAATATTTAATCTAAAATTATCATTTTTAATTTAAGTTCAAAGACATAATTCTTATCAAAGTCAAAACTATAGTGAAATATTGTGAAAGGTAAGATACTGCATTAACAACATATCATTTGTCAACATGACATGTATTCAAATTTTAAACAATGTTTAAGGGTTGTTTTGCCTTAACCAATGCTCAAATAGAACAATTTTTAAACACGTGTTCAACGCGTGTTTATCTTTTTTGTAATAACACTGGCAATGTTTATGATATAAACAGTTTCCTAGCAATAAGTATACTGACAAATCATCGAGTAAACCACTCGGGTGAAGCCGCTCGCGAAAAGCTAGTTTGTTATGAATATACACAGGAGTCATAAAAATTCTTACCAGTTGCATAATTGTCAGGTATTTTTTCCACCATAGGTATTTGCTGACTGTAGGCCCGAATACGGATAGACCGTAATACGTGTACATAAGGACATGAATTCCACTGTTCACCATAGCCGGCAGGAAGGCTGAAAAATAATAAATTTATTAGTAATACGACAAAACCAAAACTGTATAGTATGGTCGCGGCTTATGCGGAATCATTCACTATAATGGTAAAAGTTTGTTTTCTATATTGACCTAGTAGAGGATCGAATGCTGGAACTCAGAGAAAGCGGTAAGCCATTTCTATATATGCCCTAAGGAGATCTATACGATATTATTATAACGTTCGTTTTTTTGTAACTATTAATAATAAAAAGAAGCAGATCAAGTAAAATATAGCGAGTGGTGCAAAATTGGTGAAAGAATTTTTTAATTCGATGCGGTTTAGTTTGTCCATTGCAATCAATCAAAAATAAAAAACCGCAATAATATTAAAGCAGACATAAATTTAAAATAAAGGTTTCTAAAGATTAGTTTATGTCCGGTACAAAAGCTGTTCTAGAAAAAAATACTCGTAATACGAAAATGGATTCTTATATCACATTTCAATTTCAGAAAATAAATCAGCCTAGTCAATACTCAATTAAAATTCTAATTTTAAATTATCTGTTCATGTAAACGACGACGACATATTAAATATGATATTACACAGTTTGGTGTGAACACGCATATATGTGGGGACAAAATGCTAGCACGGTAATATTGTCCTCCTTTACGCGTCTCCTCGAGTGATATATGACTGTCTAAATATTTCACACGCGTAAAGGTGTTGGTGTTTTGTTAAATAAAATATTTAAAAGCAATTATTTTTTAGAAGCTTTGCTGTGCTTCGAAAAATCTTAACCGTATCGCCTTTGTGTGAGCTAGATGTTACATATAATTTTTATTGTAACAAACGTGAAATTTGACATCTGTCACTAACTAGGAAAATACTCGGTAAATTTGCACTATTTTTATATTACATATAAATATTATTCTACACTCTTGGATTGGATTATTAGAAACTAGCTTTTGCCCGCTATTTCGTCCGCCTCGTATAGTTACTTTGGGCAGCATTTCCAAAGAGTTAAAACAAATATTTATACATTATATCACTAGTCTCTTATAATTATTTGTATTAGGTTTTTACTAGGTCACTTTTGTATCTAGTAATATCACTCATTGTTTATTTCTTATTAACAATAGCTTATACTATATAAGGTATATATATTTTATATATTTTTTAAATTTAGTAACAACACCACTTGAATATTTTCAAAAACTTGTATATCTGAAATGTATAATCAAATGCTGATTTTCGGAATAAAATATAACCTATTTATTATCTTCCTAGGATCTTAAACTACTCGAATGTAAATTTTTTATCGATTAAGAAAAAAAATTACTAACTAAAACAATGGACTAAATGATACATTTTGTAAGAAGCGATATATTAGTGGCAAAGATTCGAAAACTTTGGAATCTACATTTAATAAAAAATATAAATCACACATACCTTACTAAAAAAAAAACAAGAGTAATAGTAGATATATAAACTTACTTGATCCACTGGGCACCCATTTAATACCGATCCACCAAAACGAAAACATTGTGGAGTGGTGATAGACATGAAGGAACGTCAGCTGTTCATCTTTCTTCCTTAGTATGAAGAAGAACGTGTCACAGAACTCTAGAAGCTTCGAGAAATAATACCACCATACGGCGTCTGCAATCTAAAATTGGTATAAGTAGTTAACAAAAACTGTTCGCTGAATAAATTACTGTAAATAAATTGTTATCTTTCTAAATTCAATAAGGCGGGTCATCTTATATGGCCGCGCAGTTATATTCTAACGAATACGGGTATCAAATGAGAGGGAAAATAATTTTAATATAACAAAAAAAAGTAAAATGTATACTTTGAAGTATATCAAAAGCTCAATAGTATATTAATCAACTAGATTTATTATATTTAAAAAAGAGCTCAAAGCAGTCGCATTAAATTTAAACGAGATTCTATTAGGAAAATAATCTACTAAGGAATTTATCACAGGTATAACAAAGACTTTTATTTCAAGTATTAATTGAAAGCTATAAACCATTAAAAATTCGTTGACAAAATAAATAGTTACTTTTCTACCAATGTTATGTAATATTTGTTTTTTTTTTTATATCGTAGCGATAGACACAAGAATATAGATTAAGGAGCACAAATCATTTCAGTTATATGAACATATACACGTCTAAGAGACTCTTCTCAAGTTTACAAAGGTACGTAATTGTAACAGTAACTTTACCTGCAATTCATCTGGGTCATATTTCTGCCGGCATGGCTCACATATATAGCTGTATCTCAATCTAAATGACGCCGTTAGGAGTCTGACCGCTATATACGCATTCAGCGCTGCCATCGCTAAGTTGTATGGGACCAGGAGCCATGTTAGTTTGAAAGGCCTTCTGTTTTTCATTAATTTAGGTCCCACCCAGACTATGAATAAGTACAACATTGTGTAGATCACTGTCGGTAAGGGGGAATCTACTAATGGCCATCCTTTTGTTCTATTGTCTGTAACAAGAAATGAAACTATTGACTATATTATCATTGAATAACAACCCTTATTTCATAACAATAGAGAATAGAAACTTGAGATATTTAATCGAGATTTACATAAACTTACGAACTATCTTGATTGATGAAAGACATTTCGAAAGGGATACAATATTTTGACTAGAACTTTGAACAAAGAAACCTTAAAACAGTTTTTTTATTTATTTTATACCTCTTCTTCTTCATTCAAAATATAAAATACGAACTTTTTCGTTTGCTTTTAATTTGTATAGTATAAGTTCCACGTGAATAACTTTGCTCGATAGTGAAAACCGCTTTAAAAATCAGCATTTGTGCTCCTAAAACCAATTTTCGATTTATCATCGATTATTGTGCTCTGTCCCACTAAAAGACGTTAAATACACCGTAAAATAGGGTTAATTTAATCAGTTTTTAAAATAAAATAGTCGTACTATTTTATAAAAGCGTTGGATATTGTGTTTTCCCTGTTGTTAGTATATAGAAAAAAAATATATATATTTGAACTTTCGTTTCTCAGAAAAATAAATCTGTTGCTGTTCAACCATAAATCGATTTTGGGGCTTCTTTGATCACATATTATCTTATAATTAAATGTGAAAGTAAACCTATACTTCTTAAATAGAAAAGTTAACTGATCGATGGCTGTACATAAAATATATTTATAAAAATTATTACGAGGGGCGTTTATAAACGTAATAGAAAACAAAATAATTATTTTTATTTTATTTGTCTGTTTGTCTGTGCGTTCGTGCACGCTAATCTCTGAAACGTCTGATTCGATTTAAATGCTGTTTTCACAATTGTACTGTGATAATCGTTAACATATAGTTATGTTTTATTTCAATTCATCATCACATCATCACCAGCCCTTTTACGTCCCCACTGCAGGGGCTCAGGCCTTCCTTATGGATGGTTAAGGAGGATAGGTCATGACCCTCCACGCTGGCCCAATGCGGATTGGAGGGTATTAACGACTGCAAATGCAGCCGGGACCAACGGCTTAACGTGCCTTCCGAAGCACGGAGTAGCTCGAGATAATAATTTTTTGGTCACCCATCCCGTGACCGACCCTTGCGAAAGTTTCTTAACGACTACGATCGCGGGCCGCGGCGCTTATCCACTACGCCACCGAGCTACTCAATTTGTTCATAAATAAAAAAAAATATGTCAACTTGAAGTGTATATAGGTACGTTCGGCAAAATTGCATTAAAATTAAGTGCTTTATTAAATTTTAGTCTTAAACGTAATTACTGTCATAGTCAGTTCTTTTTATCCCTATTGTTGGGGCTCAGGCTTTTGTTAAATAAATTTTACATCCATCTCGTGAACAACCCTTGCGAAATTGCCTAACAAAAACAATTGCTGGTAACGGCACTTATCCGTTGCGCTCCGGACTAATTGTCTTTAAAATGATAATTTATATGGTGATAAAAAAAAAGTTTCCAAAAATTTTAGATATTCCAATGTAAGTTGATCTCAATTATATATGACCGATCGTATTAAATAGGCTTCAGCTTATAATGAACATATGGATTAGGATCATGCGTTTTAAGGTTTTAGAGATCCTCGAGGTTAGCGATGATGATTGGCAGCCATCCCGCACTGCAGAGTCTCACCTGTCTAAGGAAGAATCTCAATGTGCCTGAGCCTCTCCATTCGCGAGGGGAGTAATGGTCCAATACTTGAGTGTCATGGTGGCTCGGCCACGGCTTCCCGGGCCTCATCTCCAATGAGATGCGGTAGGTATTTATGTGGGTGGGCACTGAGCAGCTTACGGAGACTTAAAGTTTGTATTATTTCTATTTTAAATTATTTAAAATAACTTACCCGATAATGATAAGGTCCACAAATAATAGTCGTAAGTGTCTTTTAGTACACTTTGCGTCGAATTTACTAATACCGTAGCCATAGTTTCTATAATTTTCTTCTATTCTGTAACAAAGAATTGAAACATGTTATTATCAACTTAGAAAATATTATTGATTTTGATTGTGATAGGATTGGTTAATACATAATTTGAATAAACCGAATAAAAACAGTTCAATAGATAAATAACATTCCATTGGCAGAATTTTTATACCCATCGTGTTTATCATAGAACATAGAAAAACTAAAAAATTATAAAGATATCAAACATATAGTATGTTATTTTGCTACAAATCAATCGATTGAATTAATCAAAATCAGACAGTGGCAAAATAAATATCAATTAAAATAATAATAATTACAGCAAATGTTTTCAAATGTCATTCAATAACTTCAATATGGCAAGTACCATCTTAACTAACATGCAAATGTTACAATTCTGTCAACACAAAAAATTTTATTATAACAAAATAAACAACTTAATATCTTCATAACTTGCTGATAGGACAACTTTAATGTACACGGGGGACACTCAAGTGGTAGAAAAACTATTGACAGGTTCAAAGTTGTGTGGTAATAATGCAAAATAAAAATATTTCTCTTACAAAGACACGCTAACAATATCTCTGCCGGAAATTTATCAGGAAAATTTAGTTTGCTTTGATGTAGGTCCTAACTTTCAGGACAATAATATCTCTGAACAATTCAGCTTTTTTATCAAAAAATTTTGTTTACACAAGGAAAAATACCACCAATTGAATGAAGTGTCGAGGGCATACGCGCACTAGCACAATTTACACTTCCGTGAAAAAGGGATTTGCATATCAGGCCTTCTACGGTTTAGGTGACAAAATAACCTTTGACCCCTGAAATGAGAGCGGAAAATGGTCGAATAGGGTGCGACGGCATCTAATATATGCCACTGAAGATTTTATTGGAAGGTAAATTTGCTCTACCCTTTTTTCGAAGATAAGATGTTTAAATAATAATTTATGGAATTTGTAAAGCTTCTCTTTTATATTGATTCAAATCTTAGAAGTCAAGGGAGTAGATTTTATGATTATCATTTATATTAATAACATACATCAACCCAAATCACATAATGGAAAAATATTGTTAAAGGCTATGGATTCGAAACCAATCTTGAGCATCTGAAACATCAATTCCTAGGACTGTTTTGAAAAATAAATAATAGTGTTTTTTTCAAAAAGTCCTAAGAATTGATCCGGCGATACTAAAAGTACATAAAATACCTACACTAACGCTAGTGAAAATGATAAATGTAACCTTTGTCGTGACTACCAAAATTAATTAATGTTACGCAAAAGGTCCCAGTGACAGATAACATCAAACAGAATATTTAAAAAGCCGATCTTGTTGCTGTGAAATAAAATAAAAAAAATTAATATGCGACATATGAATTTTATTCTGTGTAAATATGTAAGAGTCTACAGAGCTCGGAGCTTTTATTTGACTAGTTCACCCGGTGACAGTATAGGATATAAATTGTGCTATGTACTGAATGTTAAATAAAAATTTCGCTTTAGGGTTTCGTACCTTCCAAGTAAAAAAAACGCCCAAGTGCAAGTTGGACTCGCGAACGAAGGGTTTCGTACGTTTGTTCTTTTAGTTTTTGTTGTTATAAGAGCAACGGAAGTTTATGATTTGTGAAAATTTCAACTGTTTGGGTAGCTAAACGTGATAGCATGGTTTATGATATACAGTCTAATGACAGACAGATGCACAGCGGAGTCTTAGTAAAAGAGCCCCATGTTTGATCTTTGGATACAAAATCCTAAAAAGAAGCCCTAAAGACCCTTTTCACTCTAAAAAATGGAGGCCAACAAAGAGCGATTTTCTCTTGGTTGACATAATATTGAATAAAACAATTACTTATTTACATAAATCAACCAAAGCTGAAACATTGAACCAACTAGTTAAAGTATGGTTAAATTAAAAATTTGGTAACCCTGATTAATTCTACCAAATATATTTATCGTATCTATCATTACTGGATTTTTTTGTGTGAATCGATTATTTTTAATAGTTAAATTTAACAACTAAGTATGTTGAAGCAATTTATACAAATTAATCAAAATAAATAGGTAAAGTAATAGATTAGACGATTTTTATTGTTGCAGTAATAAGTTCTTGTATTTGGTTTAACAAAGAACGTTAGTAGAACCAAAAAAACCCTTTGTTTTTCAAACAACAAAGACTATTTAGTCAATTCAAAAACATGAATGATTAATGGTAACTACTTGACATTATTGGACTAACTAAAATTAAGCTGTTCATGCTACTAACAATGTATTTGCTAAAATAATTATCAAATTCTGATTGATTTAAATACTGTCTTATATGAATCAACTAAGAAAAGCGAGTGCCAACAAAGAGTGACTTTGTTAAATCCACACAAACTTATCAAATTCACTTTTCTATTGCGAGAATATTGTTTGAATATTGTTATGAAAAAGATTAATTCAACCAACATGTTGGTCGATATTAATATGAAACACGCCCATCATCTTCATAGGTGCCCGAATAGTTTTAAGTCTGCAAACTAGATGGCGTTATTCATTTAATGCATCGCGATATCAGTTTATATCGTTAGATTGTATAAGTAATATGCCGTTTCAACTAAACTTAATATGGGATTCAAAACCAACCATTCCAGTTATTTACTTCAGCTCTTTGGTTAGGCTCTGAGCTGTGGTCCGAGTTTAAAATCTGACTCGCTTTGGACCAAAAGTTCAGAATGATCAAACGGCTAAAGTGGTTAGTTGTCTTGGTTGAATTACCATTGGTAAATCAATTAATATAATCATATCTCATGCTTAAATTGACCAATCTTTTGGCAGAATTAACTTCGGTAAATTGTTTGAAACAACCAAGTGTCATATTAATATCGACCAACATGTTGGTTGAATTAACTTCGGTAAATTGGTTAGTACAATGATGTTTCATGCTTATATTGACTAACCTATCGGTTGAAAGAACTACGGTAAATTGGCAAGTACATATTTCATGGTTAAATTGACCAACTCTTTGGTCAAATTAACTTTCGTAAATTGATTAGTTTAGCCACGTTTCATGTTAATTTTTACCAACCTCTTGGTTGAATCAATTATGGTAAATTGTTCATACAGTCACATATCATAGACATATCGACTACGATCTTATTTAAATTGAAGACTAGGCGGTAGTTGCTATAGTTATTTATAATGATCAAATTGAATGAAATCTTAACTATCTTAACAAAGTAACTATAGTAAAAATAATAAAAACCATCTTATTTAATGTATCTAACGTCTTGTCAGGCTCATATGGAAACAAGATGCTTGGTCACATATATCACAATATTGTTTGATTTAACAATTTTTTTTTAGAGTGTTCCCTTTTCTTCAAGAAGGTATCAAGTTCTATTCAACATTAATTCCTAAGTCAACGCAATCAATGATGAAGCTCCAAAAATTTTCTTATTAAAACTTGAGAATCATGAACCGATTTGACTGATTTAGATTTTAAAATATTTATAGCAGATATAAAAAGTATAAAAAAAAAAAATATTAAGTTTTTACTTCACTATCCAATCAAATTAAACTTTTTACTCGAAACAAAAATTTAATTTCCCTATGCAAATAGTTCGTAATCGTCCACACCAGCCCTTTTACGTCCCCACTGCAGGGGCTCAGGCCTTCCTTATGGATGGTTAAGGAGGATGGGCCATGACCCTCCACGCTGGCCCAATGCGGATTGGAGGGTATTAACGACTGCAAATGCAGCCGGGACCAACGGCTTAACGTGCCTTCCGAAGCACGGAGTAGCTCGAGATAATAATTTTTTAGTCACCCATCCCGTGACCGACTCTTGCGAAAGTTGCTTAACAACTACGATCGCGGGCCGCGGCGCTTATCCACTACGCCACCGAGCTACTCGTAATCGTCAGATAAATTTAATTATAATTTGGTGCATTATTTGATTCTGCGACGGTACGAATATCAGTTAACTATGGATCTTCGCAAAGAGCAACATTATTTTCGGTTAGTAAAATGATACGACCAATTAAGTTGATATGGGTATGGTTACAACAATTACTCATCAGAACAGTCGAGTTTACCGTCTAGTTAGTCATTACTATATATATTAAAGTTTTAAAACTTTCGTAATATTGTACAGAACCTGATACTCGAGCCCGAATTGTATTCAGTTGGTTTTTTCCCCGATGCTTTTGTGTAATCTCTGTTGAACGTGATAGAATGAAATAAATGTTGAGTTTTAATTTCAGAAAAATAATTTGAGTTCTGCAGCTGTCTGTCGATGGATTTATAGTATTAGTATTTAGTTTTATCATCATCATCCTCGACCTACTAATGGCTCCAGCTTTGGCACTGGTTCTTTATATTTTTGTTAACTAATAGGTTGATTTTAGTATTACACTAAGCTTTTTATTAAAAACGGTTTTATGCGAAGCACATAAACAAACTATTTTCTAATTATTCTTAGACATGCCGAATATTTTTCTAAACATTTACATGATGTGTATATATTAAAGTAAATATTTCAGTTCAGCTGGACAACAAAATCAATACGGACATGGTACATTATTGCTATATATAACATTAACAATATCTTTAATGAAAAATGCTTAAAAATTCTACTGTTTGGGATAATTAGTTTCTATCTCAGAGTGCCCAGGACAAAGTGGATTTTCATTAATTTCATTAAAGATATTGTCCCTTTTCTTCAAGGTATCAAGTTGAAATCACTATTAATTCCTAAGACAACTACGGTCTGCAATATCTTATAGTTGTAACAAGTCAAGCTTCGAAGTCAACGCAGTCAATGATAAAGCTCCAAACGTCTGAACTAGGATTAGATCCCATCTCAGAGTGTCAGGGACAAAGTGGATTTTTTAAATTTTTTTCATTAAGAATATTTGTCAGTATAGCATTGTGTATGCAAAATTTATTAAATATAACAATTAACAATATCTGCTTACATTAATTTACTGCCTTTCAGCTATTTGTGAGTACAATAACTTCAGATTGTGCACAAATCTACTCTTTCTCTCCAAAGAGATACAAAACCCCCTTTAATATGACAGTTAATTCTCGCCACATCATCATAGCTTTGTGTCGAGT